GCTTTCTGTGTTTTATCTGGCAACCCTATCTTTAACACTTACCCATACTGGAAAGGAATTTTCTCCCTGAGGGTGTGGTACTCCCCACCCACCTTCACTAGCTCTAAGATGGAGACTGAGTTTTCAGAGGTGGGCTGTAACTCCGCCTGGAGCTGTTGAGGGCTCACTGTATCTGGGGGTTTTAATGGGCTTTTAAATTTCTGGGAAAGGGAGGTTGGTGGTGGTATTTTGGAGATTCGGGGCCTACCGCGAAGCTTTCGGAAGGGGCACTAGGCTTTGAGAGTAGTAAAGTTCCGAACTCACCATTGAGCTGTCAGAGAAGACATCAGGGTGGTTTTCATAGATAAATTTCTCCACCCGCATCTGCCGCAGTTTGAACATCTTAGAGCCCCGGTTAGTGAGCAGTGACAGCTCCTCCAACATCACATCCCTTGGGACACTGATCTTCTTGCCCAAGTTCAGGCCCGAGCTCTCCTGTCCACCTTTTAGGGAGGTGGGGAGGAAGAGGCAAGGGAAAGAGGAAAATAGGGTTTTCTGGGCTCAGAATGCAGATGTCATCCATAACTCAGTGTGTATGTCCCAGCAGAGATCGCTAAGGGAAGCAGATGCTGTCTGTGACGTCTGATCAAATTTCTGTCTAGTTTGTAAGGGATTTTGATTTCCTAGTTTTGAAGTTGGAGAGAATGCATGGGAATTGGGTTGCAGAGTGGAGATAGTGGAAATACTAGAATAGAGAGAATGAATGGGGTCAAGGGGACATGGACATGGGGTTACAGGGCAAATAAAGTACATCATAGATGGAAGCCCCTGGGGAAGCTGTGGCCTGTGGTGAAGCCCAAAGGCCAACATAGTGCGGAGTTGGACACCTCTCAGCATACTCCTGCCTTAACTCCTTCTCCTACTCTTCCCCTCAGTGAACTCTGGCTGCAAACAGCCTGTGCAGTTTTCCATTTTAAATACGTACACAGGCTCCCTAGCTTTGAGGAGAGAAGTAAGGAGATTAACCATTTATTGAAACCTAACTCTGTGCCACTCTCCATTGCATATATTTTCTTCCTTAAACATACCTACCTCACTGACCTGTGGGTCCTGTTGTCCTGGACCTACTCTGGGTAGTATGGCCTGAGTATTATTGTCTCAGATTACAAGTGTGGAAGGGTGAAGAGTTAGTGTTGAATACTTTCTCCTATCCCACTACCACCATCCCTCACCCCACCCTACCCCTGAATTTCTCTTGTCTCTTCACCCTAAGACATATATAACCTTACGATATTTCTGAGACTCTTGGGCCAGAGATACTCTTAAGAAGCCCCATACTAGGCAGGTGCAAATATGCCATACCTCCAGTGAGTTCCATGATCAGCTTACTGGATTTCCTCTTTTTGTTGGGGGCTGGCGTTCCTGAGAGCGGCATTGTGGAGGTAGGATTCAGCCTGGATAGGGTGGGAAGAGGGAGTTGAAAGATGAACAGGGATTGGGAAGGGTGTGCCTACAGTAAGGGCTTCGGGGAGCAAAATTTCATTATTAGATTTTCAACAAAATAAATCCCCTCAAGTGGTGAAAGCTCATTACTTTAGGGCTTCTCTTCTCTTGAGAGGCAGGGCAGAAACTATAGATGTAGCCCTGCCCCTGCCTTCTCCCATCCTCTTTGCAGCTGTTTTACAAAGTGCCAGTGCATGCGTTAGATGCACAGTGTATGTTGGGAGGCAGGGGCTAAAACAAACAACACGCAGGCAGGGCAATGCACCCAGGTTTCATTAGCATGATTTGAAGTTTTTATTTGCATGGGGATCTCAGGTTGGGGCTGTCATACCAAGCTCTGATCTCTCCTCAGTCTTCCCCAACCCCCAGGGGGTCAGAAAAAATGTTCTGCCAGGGTTGAGATCCAGCCAAAAACATTCTCCATAGGAAGGAGAGGTTGTTGCTCCTCCATTGGGCCAGCTGGAATATGGCCTGGGAGGTCACAGCAGTGCTCCCTGCTCCATTTCAGTCACTCCTATCCCAGACCCCAGAATTGGAGAGGGGTGGGGGGCGGGTCAGGGGACATTTGAACCTTGATGCATGTCAACTCAGCAATATCATAGCAGTGGGAATTTGAAGGAGGGCAGGGACATAATAATAGTCTCTGGCAGTGAAGGGGGACAAGCTGGAAAAGATACAGACTTCAGCTCCTCCTTGAGAGACGTTGGCAACCAGCAAAAATGTTGTTTTCTGTTGAGTCCTGTCCCACAACACATCTGCAGTTCTACTAACTTAGTGGGGTCTGCTGAGGTCAGAGTCCAGGAACTGCTAAATGGACTCTCCCTGTATCTCTCAGCCTCGAGGTTCTAATTTTCCTCTTAGACCCCCCCCCCCCCCACTTCTTATTTCTCCAGTGCCTCCCCCCATATCTCTATTCCCCACACCCTTCAGGGACCCTCTCCTTCCAACTCTCTGTGGCTCCCCTGAACTGGACAGCTGGGAGCTGAGCACAGACGGGGGAGAGGGAACTACCCCAGGATCAAGGGTCGCTTCTGCGTTCACAGACACAACAGTCAGCAGAATGGGCTCCAGCCCCTCTGGTTATAGAGTTGGAGACTTACCAGTTGCTTGGGCGGTGGTCAGCTCTCCCTGGGGTCCAGCAGCTTTGGAGGACTGAGCTGCTGTGACTGGAGAACCTGAGCCGGGCAGGCGTGGGGGAAGCACTGGCAGTGGGGGAGGGAGGGTGGTTATTAATAGAGATGGTGAGCGTAAGCAGCTCAAATGGCACAAGGGGTACTGAGACCCTGGAACCAAGGTCCCGCCCTCCCCGTCCAGAGGCTCAGGAATGAAAGAAAGGCCTTTGGGATTCTCCCACTAAGTTGTCTGAGCCAGTCTGCCCAGGAACTCCCTTTGGCTTAACCTCTAGAGCAGCGGTTCTCAACCTGTGGGTCGCGACCCCTTTGGGGGTCGAACGACCCTTTCACAGGGGTCGCCTAAGACCATTGGAAAACACATATATAATTACTTATTGTTTTTGCGATTAATCACTATGCTTTAATTATGTTCAATTTGTAACAATGAAATTGGGGGTCACCACAACATGAGGAACTGTATTAAAGGGTCGCGGCATTAGGAAGGTTGAGAACCACTGCTCTAGAGTCTGAGAAGCATTCAGGGAGAAAGTGAAAACTGAGAAGGCGAGAGGAGGTAGGCAGCAAATGGGAGATAGGAATTCAGAGAGGGAGAACAAGAATCTGGAGAGCCACTCAGAGCCGATCTACATCACAGCTGGAAGGACATGTGGGTGCATTTTGGGGTGGGAAAGCTTAAGGCACTGTGTTTGGGGAAGGGATGTCTGTTCACAATGAAACTACTCTTTGAAAGTTCCTGGATGGGTTGATCTTTCCTCTGGGAGGGCCAGATCTTAGCAGATTAAGGGACCAAATTCACCAAACCCAGTGCTTTCTAGGCTGTAAGGGAAGATGTGGGGAAGACCTGACCAATTTCTGCCTTTTCACCCCTATTTGCTGTTGGGGTGCTCAGTTCAGCCTACTCTGCAGGATAGATGTTGATGTCTCTCTGAGAAGTGTATGAAGGCTTCTGACCTGCCAAGGCCTTACTCTCTAAGGTTCCTACTTGGACTTTTCTTTAAAAGGACACATACCCATTTGCATTGTTCCAGAGAAACCTCTGGGCAGGGGCACTAGCTGGAGAGCCCCCTTGCGAGAAGCCTGTCGTATGCCCAGCCCTTTCCCTCGTAGCTCCATGCACATCTGGATCCTCCTCTACCTTCTGCTTAGGTTCTGGAACCACCCTGTGTGGCTGCTTTAAGAAATGGGTTTCATAGCTCCCAGAATACCCCCCTGTCCCTCTGTGAGTTCTCCCCTCTTCCTGACCGTGCCCTTTTCCCATCCTAAACTTTCCAGGTTCGGGCTAGGAGCCGAAAGGGCTTTGAGCTTTCTGTAGATGGCCTCTTCCTAGATCAGTTTAGCTTCTAGATCCCTCATCTTTTGTCTTCTCTATTTCCTCCCAACCCAAAGAAGCAATTAGAAGAAAAAAACCAAATAGCAAATGGTGATTTCATCATGACTACCATCCTCCTCTCAATAACAAATCAAAATTTTGGTCTCCTGTCATTGAGTGCCTAAATTAACTACCAGGTGATAAAGATAGAATATTTAGCCTATGCTCTCTGGGCCCTTCCTTCCTTTGGAATTCTGACTGTACTTAGGAGCATCTGGGTCCTCCACCTGGTTATTGGTGCAAATATGCCCCCTGCTGGTAAAATTGGAGCAATGGCACTTTTCTTCTCCAAAGTCTTTCATTCTAGTTTGCCTCTTGTGCCTTCTCTTCTTTATTAGTCTCAATCCACACTATCCACCCACCCTCTATTGTTCTTCCCTCTCCCACCTTCACCTACAGCAGCGGTTCTCAACCTGTGGGTCGCGACCCCTTTGGGGGTCGAACGACCCTTTCACAGGAGTCGCCTAAGACCTTCGGAAAACACATATATAATTACATATTGTTTTTGTGATTAATCACTATGCTTTAATTATGTTCAATTTGTAACAATGAAATTGGGGGTCACCACAACATGAGGAACTGTATTAAAGGGTCGTGGCATTAGGAAGATTGAGAACCACTGACCTACAGCCATTTGGTTTTCCCATGGAAATATGGTTGCTTCCTCCAGGGAGCTAGGAAATGTTGATGGCAAAAGGCCTTTCCAACTTCTCTTAGTTCTGTAAACTGAGGCCTAGCTTGGGAAGTATGGAGCAAGAGATTGAAAGAGGGATAGTCTGCATGGGAAATGTGGGGAGAGGGAACCAAGGGGAGTAGTAGAAGTGACTAAATAGCAATGGAACAGAATTGGTAGAGAAGATCCAGAGACCAGTGTAAAGGGCAAAAGGGTGAAACATAGGAGGGCAGCAATGGAGAAAGACACCAGGAATCGGGAGGTCAGGATCATTGAATGAGTTAAGATCAAGGGGAAATCAGGATTTGGGTATAAACCTAGAAGAGATGACAGCAACAGAAGGTGTGGGGTATAAGTTTATTCTTGTGCACAAACAAAAGTACTGTGACTCACACCCAATATGCAAAAGAAATGATCAATTTCCAGATCAAGCAGCAAACGTGACCCTTGGGAGTCATGGTGAAAGGGGAGTCTCCACTCCTCTAGGATCAGAGATCAGGACCTGGAGCTGGAAGGGAACAAGAGTTAGGGTCTGAGGGGTAGGGTAGGACTGAAAAGAGGGTTGGCTCTAGGTGTTTCCTCGACCTTTCCCAGGTAGTCAGGACAAGCTGCAGAAGACAGAGGGACAGCCCTAACCTGTTTGGCTCAGTGGAGAGAGCGCCGGCCTGTGAACTGAAGGGTCCCAGGTTCGATTCCTGTCAAGGGCACGTACCTCGGTTGTGGGCACATCCCCTGTAGGGAGTGTGCAGAAGGCAGCTGATCGATGTTTCTCTCTCATTGATATTTCTAATTCTCTCTCCCTCTCCCTTCCTCTCTGTAAAAAAATCAATAAAATATATACTTTTAAATTTAAAAAAAGAAGACAGAGGGACAGACTCAAGGGAGGTAGCACAGATACCAACTGTTTTTTCAACACTCAGTATATACTCTGACATCCCCCCACCATCATCCACTTCACTCTAACAAATGCATTCTTCTCCATCACAATTCCCCCCAAATCCTCCTCTTGCCCACAGTTGGTTTCTTGTTACCTAACTTCACTCTCTGCCAACACTGCATTCTCACTCTCTCACCATGCTCCTCTTTGTGGCTCCATCGATTTCATTAATTCCTGCTCTGCTCCTGCTTCTGCCTCATTTTCCACACCATGGCTCTTTTCTTTCTGTCTCTCCGAGGCTTAGAGGACGTAACGCCACTGATTTGTTCATTCTCAGAGGACATTTTTCTTTTGGTTCACTTCCTGGGTGCTTGTTGCCCAGCATGGGCCTGTCAAGTTGCTACCTGTCTGAAATCCTGAGGAATAGAATTTTTAGTTCGATTCCTGATCTGACTGGTATAATGCAGCCCATACAAACTGCCTTGGTCCTTCACATCTCCCCATACTCCATACGTTTCACAAGATGCTGTATACCAGTTACTAGTCTTCAACTGTAGTGAACCTCTTTCTCCCCTAGATTATCCATGTGGGGTCATCTCACCCTTCTTTCATCGGTGCAAGGGTGAGGCCCACATCAGGTCTTTATTTAGCTCTGTCCTCTTGCTCTTGCCTCAGACAGAAGAGCACATCTGTGCCCTTGCGTACACACATACATACGCATACATACATGCCGAGGTATATGCCAGCCAGGTTTGGAGAAGGTGAGCAGCAGAGACTAACTTAGAGCAAACAAGGATCAATTCAGTTTCATCGCTGCCTGCCTGGTGGTGAGATTCTTGTTGAGTGCTCAGTGGTAGCTTCTCTGTGTGCTTCTCATTGAATGTTATGAAGTTCACAGAGAAAAGAACAAAGTAGAGAAATACAGACCAGTGAGGGCACATGGGTGGAGAGACCTAGAGATAAAGACAAAGATCCAGGCAAGAAACTACAGAGACAAAGAGAAGCACAGATACCAAAGCAGAAGTATTAGGCTGGAAAGCAGCAGGGAGGTTGGGAGTCAGGAGGAACCGGGATGGGATACCAACTCCAAAACTACCTCTGGCAGGAGGGAATTTAACCTCCAAATGCCCGAGAGAGGGGTTGGATTAGGTAGGAGAAGCAACTTTAGTAACTGGGGAAGCAACTAGTTCTCCTTGGTCCTGGGAGCTGTGCCCTGTTCAGTGGTGGCCTGCACCAGGCCTCCACACCTGAGCCTGCAATCCCGTTTTGGTGGCTGAAAACCGGGGCCTGGCTACCTGGAAGCCACAGGAGCTGGGTGAGGTCCCAAGACCCCTGGGAGACTCTGGAGGAGGGGCTGGGCTGAGGACAGGGACTGAGGCCAGCTCTGCCCTCCAGATGGGCTCGTCCAATGTAGTGGCTGCTCTGGGGGCAAGCACAGTGGGGGCCAGGGGTTCTGCAGTGGGTTGGGGTACTGGCGTGGAAAATCGGCGGACCTCCTGGATTCGGGCCGTTTTGGGGGGCCCTGAGGAGGTGGGACCAGGAGTCTGGGGAGCCTCATCAAAACAGAACATGGCAGTTTTCAGTTGGTAGGGCTGGTGCCGCATGAAATCCAGAGCCTTGATGCCCTGCTTGGGGGTTGCCCGCGGCCCCTGGGATTGGGCCTTATTAGGGAGAGTTCGGGCAGCCTGGGGGAAATAGGGTGAGAGCAGTGGGTTGTAAGCAATAGGAGGCGGGGCTCGGATATTGGGTGAGTATTTCCAGGAAGGGGGCAGCGAGGGAGTAGGAGAAGGGCTTCGGGGCCGAGGGCCGAGGCCAGGACTAGGTGCGGCCTCTACCACGAACCTGTCCGCTCGGCTTTGCCGCTTGGCAAATAGCTCCCCACCCCGGCCCTGAAGCCTGGGTGGCTCAGGGATTCCAGCGGAAGGGGCTGCCCCATTCACTAGCCCTTCGGGGAACCCTCGAGATGAGGGCTTGGGAGCCACTGGGGGTGGAGTCTTAGGAGCCATAGGGGGTGGAGTCTTAGGAGCCATAGGGGGCGGGGTCTTAGGAGCCATGGGGGGCGGGGTTTTGGGTGTCACGTGAGGCAGGGTCTTGTAACTCCTGCCCCCTGGTGGCTGCATGAAGTTGCAGGCTTCAGCCCCCAGGCTCAGCGCATCCTCCTCCGGGCCAGACTCCGCACCCCCGGCCCGGGGTTTCTCATCCAGGTTCTGCACCAGCGACAGCAGCTCGGGGTTGGGCGAGTTCTTCGTCTCCTCGTTCCCCTGCCGGAACATCTGCTTCCGAGTCCCCCGACGCCGGGCCTCCTGAAGGATGCCCGTGCGAGCGGCTGGCACGGAGATGCGCTGCTCCCGCGCGCTGGGGGGCTCGGGGGCGGCGGGGCCGGGGGCGGGCGCCTCTGGGCGCGCAGCGGGTCGCAGAGGCGCCGACAGGAAGATGGAAGCGGTGGAGGTCATGGCAGCCGTGCTGGAGGGAGCGGGGGGTTCGGGGGCCCCGCCTGGCGTCACAGGACGATGCGGGGCTGGGATGTACAGGGAGCTGGTGGCCGTCACGGGGCCCGAAGAGCGCGGGGTGCCGGGGGAACTGGAGGCTGGCAGGTGGCTGGGAACCCCGGGGGTGGAGCTGGGCAGAGCGGCGGGCCCCTGAGGAGAGGCCAGGAAAGGTGGTGGAGCAGGGCTGAGGCCGCCCAGGCTTTCGCTCGCCCTCTTGGGGGCCACGGGCCGGAAAATGACCGAGGTGGTCCCTGGACGCTGCCCCTGAAAGCCCGGGGTAAAGGGCCGGGCTGACCGGTTAAAGATGCTGGGAGTTGGGGTAGGGGCTCCACCGCCTGGGAGGAAGGGTCCGGGGCCCCCCAAAGGGCCTGGCGACGCGGGGAGCCCGGCCGCCTCGGGGGGAGCACTCTGGGCCCGAGGGGGTGACTGCAGGGCGCGCCCGTGGAGCGCGGCTCCCGGCGCGTCCCCGGCTGCGGGCCCGTCCCCCGCCGGCTCCTGGGGGCTGGAGGCTGCGCGCTGGCGCTGCTGCTCGAAGAGCTGGACCCCTCGCCCCGAGGCCTCGCTCAGCTGCCCGCCCGGCCCCGGGCCCGGGCCCTCGGCTGCGCCTGAGCCCGGCCTGGCCAGCTCCATGTCCAGGTAGGGGCTGTCCCAGTCGGACTGGTTGGTGAGGCTGCGGGCGTCGGAGAAGGCCTCCTCGTCCAGCTCCGATTCGCTCGTTGGAGGGACCCCGTCTTCCTCCTCCTCGGCGCCTGTCCCAGCTGCAGACCCAAAGCTCACCAGGGTGTATTTCTTGGCTCTCTGCCGTCTTTTCTTAAACATAAGCACCCCCTTGGAGTGGGGGTTGGGGGCTGCCGTCAGCAGGGACGCAATCGTCCGGCATTTGGTCTTGGCCTCCTTCACGCTCTTCTCCTGGAGGCTCTCTGCCCGTTGCAGTTCTGAGGAGGCCGGAGGGGGAAAGCTCGTGAGCCTCCTGGAGTCCATTTCCCCAGGCTCCCACCCCCTCCCCAGCCCCCCTCCCCAGCCGGCCGCCTCGGCCCTCCCACCTCCTGCCTTCTCAAGGTCCTCTGACTTGGGGGTGAAAGGTGAAACCAAGGACAGTTGGAAGGAAGGCAGAGTCTAGCTGGCTGTCCAGACACCACTCTGACCACAGCGCTCCCATCCTCGCCTCCCTCTACTCTGCTATCTTCCCAGAGATGTGCTCTTACCCACCCCACTCACATTCCTCCCTGCCTCCCTCCATTTCTGGCTGACAACGCAGGGGTAGGTTGGGGGGGGGGGGGGGGGGGTCACTTCCCAGGCAGAAAGATGAGGCAGGTCCCAGGGAGACAAAAGATGAGAAGGGACACCTTTCTCCCGCCACAGAGATCACATTACAGAGATCTCAGAAAGTTTGGGACTTACTCACTTATTCCCTATGATAAGGACACAAAGGACCCCTAGCAACAAGGATCTTCATTCACAATTCCACCCCCACCATGCCGTCCACATCTTATACATTCATAGGAATAACCCATTATCCATCATTTCAACAGGCAATATGGGGCTAGTAAAAGCCAGCCGTGGGCACACTTTCTCATGTACCTTTCTCTCTCATTTACACATACCCGAGGTTATATATACCCTAGTTCACACAGGTATTTAAACAAAAACACATAGAGTCACTTAAATATATTCACACACATGCACACTCCAGATGGCCCTTCTTCCCGGAGTTCCCCCTGCAAAGGTCCTTTTCCTAAAAGTTTGAACAAAGTTTTAGAGCAGACTTTGGCCTTCCAACTGCCAGGCACTCTTCTTTTGCCTCACATCCCGCTACTCACAGCTAGGAATAGCGTCAGGTCCGAGATGCAGGAAAAGCCAGAGTGCTGCCCTCCGAGGCAGTCCTCCAAATCTTTATGCCTAAAGTCACCGAGTAAATCTATTCACCTTTCCCCCCAGCTGAGGTTGCAAGTGGAGTAATCTTCCTTAGGGGTCAGCCTTCTAGGTAGAGAGCTCAGGCAGCCACTACCAGGCTGGCACAAAAGGATTATATACTAAGGGGAGGCAGGGCTTCCCATGCCATGTGGGGCCTGGGAGGTGGGGCCAGGAAGTGGGAGAGGCTGCCCTGCTGCTGGGACCCTGCCTTGGGCTTTCTGATCCATGATCCCCAGTTCCTCCTAAAAAAAATTCTTGAAATTCCATCTACTTTCTACTCAAGATACCGAGCTCCCTTCTTATTAGAGCTCTCAATGTGCCCATCGCCACATTTATACCACAGAATAGAACTGTGAACAAGAGATAGATATTGGAGTCAGAGTTCAATTTAGGTTTTTGGTTCTGGGGAGAGTTACTTCACTTCATTGAAGTTCAGTTTCCTCATCTGTAAATGAGAATGATAATAGCTACCTCATAGGGTTGCTATGAGGATTAAGTGAGATAATGTAGGTAAATTTAGCATTTAACAGCAGCCATAAGTTCCACTGTGAGTAACCATTACTATTAAAGCTTTCTTGTCAGTAGCTACACCTGTATACAGACACTTTCTTACACATATTTTCTCCCACATACAGACCTTAATATATTCATAGATTATTCACCCTTCCCTCTCGTACACACACTCTCCCCTTGAGTTTTCTACAGCTCACGTGGTCACAAACCTCTTTGACATGTGACCACAGCATTAGTCCATTCTGAGAGAGGGGTCATGAAACTTTCCTTAGAAAAGAAGGAAGAGGAAGGCAAAAAGGAGGAATAGATAAGGGAGTAAGACCTTTCCCAAAGACCTCCCTTCCTAACTGTTGATGCATTCCCCTGCATTCTAGATCCCAGGACTCCCTTGGCTATGGGAAGGTAGTACCTGCATAGAATGGGTCCTGTAGCTCAGGAGCTGGGCCTGGAGCTTTGTTGGAGCTGGCTTGGCTGAGGGGCTCTTGGCCGATGGGCTCAAAGGTCTCCATGCCGAGAAAGGCAGTGTTGGCTGGAGCTGGACCAGCTTGAGCCACCCCCCATGCCTTTTAAAGCCCCTTTGTCTTGTCCCCAGAGCTGGCAGCTGAATGAGCTCACTCTGCTATTTTTGGAGCCTGTCCCCCTCCCTCCTCTGGCCTGCTCCACAAGCCCCGGTGTGATAGACATGGGCACCTGCCTACCCTTCCCCCCACTTCACCCCACTGGACAATGAGGTCTGCTTGACTAAAAATAGCCCTGAGCCACTAACTCCAGTCTCACCCAGCATGATGGGAAGGGAGAGAGTGCTAAAATGAGAATTGGGGATAAGCATGGGATCCTGGGCATGCATCTGGAATTTCTTTGTGGTATGTGGGACATTCTTAGGGATGCCAGATGCTAAACTGTCACATCTTTAGTTTCTAATACAGACTTAGAGACACAAAAATTCTAGGGATCAGGAATCAGAATGGTGGAGGGGAGGAATGGGAGATGAGAACTAGAGGGATAATCCGGAGATTTCCAAGGTGATGAGAAAGGGCTCTGGGGAGAGGCATGGTAGGCATAGGATGGGGAGAAAGTTCACTCTTAGACCGTGTTCTATAGCTCACATCAAAAATAGCAGAGCGCTTGAGATAAGTGGAACTGTGTATTGTGGTGTGTTTTTTTTTTTGTTTGTTTTTCTGCCCAGGCCTACATTCTTGCCTGAGATAAAGAGCTGAAGATCCCTCCCTCTACCACTTCCTAAGGCAGCGGTTCTCAACCTGTGGGTCGCGACCCCTTTGGGGGTTGAACGACCCTTTCACAGGGGTCGCCTAAGACCATCGGAAAACACATATATAATTACATATTGTTTTTGTGATTAATCACTATGCTTTAATTATGTTCAATTTGTAACAATGAAAATACATCCTGCATATCAGATATTTACATTACAATTCATAACATTAGCAAAATTACAGTTATGAAGTAACAACGAAAATAATTTTATGGTTGGGGGTCACATGAGGAACTGTATTAAAGGGTCGCGGCATTAGGAAGGTTGAGAACCACTGTCTTAGGGACTATCCCGTAGCCTCCCAGTCCCCAGGAATGCTAACTGAATTTACAAAGGTCAAAGGCTGCTCTGATTCTATGCCTGCAGTTAAACTGAAGAGGCCCTGTAGCCGTGCCCTGCTTCAAAATACTTCCCTGCCAACTATCCAGCACCTAGCAAAATTATAGCAAGGACAACAAGCAAAGCCTTCATTGATTCATGTCTCTTTCCAACTTCCCTACTTACCCTATTACTGAGTTGGGTTGAACCACCTGTACCTTTTTCCTGCACTAGTTCCAACAGCAGAAATAATGGGGACCATGAGAATAATTATTTCCCTCTCCTACTCATCACTCTTCTCCACTTGCCCCCAAGACTATATCCAAGGGAAGAATAAGGTATGGTTATGACGGGGTAGATTTAGGGCTCAGATGAAAAGATCCTGGCTAGGGGGAGATGGTTCAGGCACTCACTGGCTTGCTTGGCCTTCTGGGTGTAGGTGGTAGTAAGATCTTCTGCCACCGGGTGGGAAACAGGCCCCACCATAGGGATGAGATGAGGGCCAGGCCGGAGGGTACCATGGGGCAACAGCAGGGCCTCGGCTGGTGGTGGCTTAAGGGTGGCCCCATTCTCCGAAGATGGGGAGCTCACACGGCTGTCACCCTGGCTGGAAGGGCCAGGGATAGCAGGTGCCGGCTCTGCAGGGCTGTCAGACAGGTAGACCTCATCAGGTGGGGCTCCCGGAGGGGTGGGCCTTGTGGGGCCTCGGCGGCGGGGTCGGCGGGGCTTCTCCTGGGTGGCAGGGCCATCAGCATCACTGTCTGTTTCTCCGTAGTAAGCCTCACTATCAGGGGGTGAGAGGAGGCTCCCAGGCTGAAGAGACTGGGGAACTGGAGCACCAGGGGGCTCAGGACTCATCGGAGATAAAGGTGACAGCACCTGAAGCTCACCAGGGGATGGAGATCGCACAGGCCCTTCTTCCTCTACCCTGCGAAAGATGAGAGAACTTGAGAAATGGGTTGGATGACTGCCAGCTAGGGATCTGGAGGGGATGGGAAAAGGAGGTAAGGGGAGAAGGGCGATATAGGTGGAATGGGTTGGGGAGAGTGGAGATCTGAAGACAAACTGGGAGGCAAATGTGCTTGGAGGACTGTGAGTAGAAATGGGCTTCGAGGGAGATGTGATAATGAGACAGGCAAGGGGTTGAAGGAGGCCCACACACTCAGATAGCCACTCGACACTCCATCCCTAAATTACAGATCTATTCAAGCCCTTTGGGAGGCCTACACTAACATCTATACTCCAGCACTGATACACGAGCAGAAATAGGTACTTGTCAGTTGCTGAAGCCAGGCCAGTGAGACACAGAGCTGAGTCAGGGAGCAGGGGGACAGGGTGGGTTGCCTTGGGAGGAGTCCATACCTCTGCACAGTGAGGACAAGTTGAGTCCCTGAGGCATCGATGAGGCTCATGGCACTGGCGTGAGAGAGGCTGGTGCAGGAGACCCCATTGATGGCCAAAAGCTGGTCCCTCTCTCGGAGTCCTGCTCTGCCAGCCTGGCTCCGTCTTCGGATCTGAGAAGATGTTGGAGGAGAGAGTGTAGGTGAGGGAGGGCTCCAAGGGGGAATAGCATGAAAGGAGTTAGGACGCGAAGGACCCATGTATGGAAGGGATTTGCAGTGTAAGAAAGGGTGGAGAGGGGCATGGGACTGCAGTTAAGGGGGCCTTCCTAGAGGGAAGAAGGTACAGAGTGGAGGGAGCAATACATTATATGAGGGGAAGTAGGATAATCATCGAGTGAGAGGATTGGGGGCAGGACCGGTGCTAAAAACGACTTTCCAAGATTTTCCTCTAAGGGCAATATCTATATTAGCAATAGTTCACTCCCAGGCCTTGGAATCCCAGGCACTATTATCTACATAGTCTAATGTTTTAGAACATTATTCCAGATTGGAGGGAGTCCTGCAGATTCTGGGAGACTGGGATTGTGTGTGTATAGGTGTGCCATGGTGGCTATCTTTTCCTGAGTGCTTCCTAAATGTTAGGCACGGTGCTAAGCACTCTACATGCATTAGTGCATTTAATCCTTAGAGTGGTTCTATGAAGTAGCAACTCTTGTTACCCACATTTTACAGTTGAAAAAATTAAGCCTGTACGATGAAACCAATAGGGCTACAACTTCAACTGACAGGCTAGCACCAAAAAAAGAGTCTTGCCTAGTGAGGAAGGATCTGGCGTAGGAAAAGAGGAGCACTGAAGGCATGGGCAGGGCAGGGCAGGGCAGGGCTAGGCTGGGCTGGCATGACAGCCTCAGCTCATCACATATCAGTTTAGTTAGAGAGAAATTAGAACCTTCCCTACATTCCTGGAGTTTGGGGTAGAGGCACAGACCCAGGAGACTGGGTGGCCAGCCCTGAGCCTCTGCTGCTATGGTGCCGCAGGGAACGGAGACAGAGTCTCTTTTTCTTCGCTACCAGAAACCAGGAATTCCCTTTTCTAATAGCCCCCACCCCCACAAGAAGCCGGTGTTCAGACATTACTTCCCCCACCAAACTTTAGCATGCTTCCCTGCCCATCTACCCACCCCACTCCTCTTCTTCACCGCCTCCCACTTCACCACATGACCCTTCCCAAGTTCCCCCTTTCCCTGAAACCTCAATGTAGGGGCTCTCCCTTACCTTGGATACCTGTAAAGGTTTCCTCTGCTCGGCCCCCCCCTGAAGTCGGAAGCCCCAGGGGGCTCCCCCTGACAGTGTGACCAGCACCTCCTTCTCAGCACCCATGGCTCAGGTTGGCCTATGGCCCTCGGAGTGTGGACAGTGTCCCAGGGAGAGGAATCGGGGTGCTGGTACCCCGTCCGGCCTGTCTGTCTGGCTGTCCTGCTCCTGCTGCCCCAGGCCTTCCCCCCCACACCACACACCACAGGCAGGCAACTTGGCCCTGGGATCAGTACAGTCCAGCACACGTGTCCTGTCAATCGGAGTTGTGCTCAAAATAGTTGCCGGCTGTACTCCTCTCCCTCCCCCAGCTCTATTACTCCCAGAACTAATTATAGTAAAAATTTCTGCTCTCCCCTGTCCCCCATTCTCCTGCAGGGGCCTTTTACTCAACACTCAGACTAGTAGTTCTCTGGGCTCTATAACTCACATACACCCTTTCAGGGACTGTGGTTTCTCCGATAGGATCATAGACTAATTCCAAGTGCTTTCCTCCAAAGCTCATTTCAAAGTGGCAGCAGCAGAGGCTTCAATTCCAGAGCAAGGAATGGCTGGGTTTGTCCCACAAGTTCTCAAGCTTCCTAGAAAGGCGTGCCCCTTCCTGCATGAATCTACCTACTAATCAAAATGGAGATCTATCTCCCACTGCAGTGCTGGGTGCAATTTAGAGGAATTCTGATCAGCTTTGCTCCAGCTGAACAGTTGCCTGTTCCATAAAGCCTTTCATGCCCATCTCCTGACTCACTACCTATACAATAGGCCTTTCTTCCTCTGGGCAACAGATGTATCAATATATTTCTATTGTTGTATTTTTCAGCCACTATTACAGTTTGTCTATCTGCCTGTCTCTCTCTTAGATTATGAGAAACTTGTGTGCAACAGCCAATTAACAGCCCACAGAACAATGACAGATATGAATAGTGCTCAATAAATCTTTGCTAACCCAGCCAGTGTGGCTCAGTGGTTGAGCATCGACCTAAGAACCAGGAAGTCAGGTTTCAATTCCCGGTCAGGGCACATGCCTGGATAAAGGGCTTGATCCTGTGTGGGGCATACAGGAGGCAGCTGATCAATGATTCTGTCTCATCATTGATGTTTCTATCTCTCTCCCTCTCTGAAATCAATAAAAATATATTAAAAAATAAATGTTTCTAAATTAAATTACCTGTTATAATAAGGTGGTCATGGACAGGTGAATACAAATAGTTGTGCATAAATATGCCAACCTATCCTATATAATAAAGAGATACTATGCAAATAGTCATCATACCCTCATGCCATCACCCTATAACACCTCAGACACTCAACACTGGGGAGAGAGAAATGGGGACCAGCCAGGCACAAATGAGCTCACGAGAGAGGAATGGGGACCAGCCAGGCTACAGCCCGGGAGAGGGACAAGCCACCCACCCCGCGGTCCCGAGTGCCTGTGGCTGCGGCCCAGGCAAAGCCACCCACCCACAGTCCCCTGCGGCTGCGGCTGGCCCAGGTCCTGGGTGTCTGTGACCAGCCAGAGGAGGGAATCCTGGGTCCCGGGTGCGGGGTGAGGCAGAGGGGGTTAGGGGCGATCAGGCCAGCAGGGGAGCAGTTAGGGGCAATCAGGCAGGCAGGCAGAGGTGGTTAGGGGCAATCAGGCAGGCAGGCAGGCGAGCAGTTAGGAGCCAGCAGTCCCAGATTGTGAGAGGCAGTCGGACATCCCCGAGGGGTCCCAGATTGGAGAGGGTGCAGGCTGGGCTGAGGAACCCCCTCTCATGCATGAATTTTGTGCACCGAGCCTCTAGTCCAGCCGTGGGCAAACTACAGCCCATTTGAAATGAATAAAACTATTGAAAAAAAAGACCATACCCTTTTATGTAATGATGTTTACTTTGAATTTATATTAGTTCACACAAACACTCCATCCATGCTTTTGTTCCGGCCCTCTGGTCCAGTTTAAGAACCCATTGTGGCCCTCGAGTCAAAAAGTTTGCCCACCCCTGCTCTAGTCTCTATATATATAAAAGCCTAAGTGACCGAATGACTGGTTGACTGGTTGCTATGATGCACACTGACCACCAGGGGGCATATGCTCAATGCAGGAGCTGCCGCTGGTGGTGGTCAGTGTGCTCCCTCAGCCAACCTCCCACTGCCCCAATTGGCCCTGATTGTCAGCCAGGCTGAGGGACCCCACCCATGCACGAATTCATGCACTGGGCCTCTAGTCCTATATAATAAAAGAGAAACATGTAAATTAACCATCCCTCTGCTATGCTCAAGCCATGCCCACCAGCCAATCAGGAGCAAGTATGCAAATTAACCCAACTAAGATGGTGGTGGCCAGGGAGTGGAGCGAGCAGGAGGCTTGGGTTGCCCCCGGCGATGGAGGAAGCCAAGCTTCCCACCTGCCTTGGCCAGCCCTCGGCTCCGCTCAAGGCTACAAAGTTTCAATTATAGAAGATAAATAAATCCCAGAAAAAAAGAGAAAAAAAGAAAAGAGAGGCTGGGAGCTTGGGTCGCCGGGGGATGTGGCAGCCTGAAAACGGCCATCAGCCCCTCACCTAGGCTGGCCAGGCACCCCAGTGGCATTCTCCCACCCTGAAGGGGCTGTGGGGAGCCTGAAAACGGCCCTCAGCCCCTCACCCAGGCTGGCCACACCCCCAGGGGGTGAGGGTGCCCGCTGGGAGGTTTGGCCAGCCTGAAAACAGCCCTCAGCCCCTTACCCAGGCTGGCCAGGCACCCCAGCGGAACCCCCACCCTGATCTGGGACACCCTTCAGGGCAAACCAGCTGGCCCCCACCTGTGCACCAGGCCTCTGTCCTATCTAATAATAGACAAACATGGTAATTGACCATACCTTCGCTACACCTCCCATGGGCTAATCAGCATGATATGCAAATTAACCACCAACAAATATGGCATCTAATTTGCATACTGCAGGCAGGGTGGGACAGCGCCATCCCGCCTGCCCTGCCGCCATCCAGGCCTGCTATCTGCGACCCGGGGCGGCGGGCATCCCATGTGCGACCTCACCTGGGGCGGCCGGGTGGGGCAGCGAAGGCTTGAAGGCGGCTCCGGCTGGAGTGAAGGCCTGGGTCCCAGGTGCTGGAGGGAAACCGGTGCCAGCAGCCAAGGGAAGGGAAAGCCTATTGCATGAATCTTTTTGTGCAACAGGCCTCTAGTCCTATATAATAAAAGGACTAGATAATATGCAAATTGATCTTAATAGCAGAACCACTGGGAATGACTGGTCACTATGACACACACTGACCACCAAGGGGCAGACGCTCAATGCAGGAGCTGCCCCTTGGTGGTCAGTGTGCTCCCACAGGGGGAGCTCTGCTCAGCCACAAGCCAGGCTGATGGCTGCCAGCACAGCGGTGGTGGCAGGAGCCTCTCCTGCCTCCTCAGCAGTGCTAAGGATGTCCGACTGCAGCTTAGGCCTGCTCCCCGCTGGCAAGTGGACATCCCCTGAGGGCTCTGGGCTGCCAGAGGGATGTTTGACTGCCAGCTTAAGCCCGATCCCCCGGGGGGGGGGGGCGCCTAAGCCAGCAGGTGGACATCCCCCGAGGGGTCCCAGACTGCGAGAGGACACAGGCCGGGCTGAGGGACGCCCCCCCCCCCCCAAGTGCACAAATTTTTGTGCACTGGGCCTCTAGTGTCAATAATAAAATCCCTACTTATTTTTAGGTTTCCATTACACGAATGTGTCCTATGTTAAGATATCTCTGTTATAAAACATAACATTATGGTGCTGTAATTATCAAAAGCTAAAGGATTTCCTGGAATAGCTGTTCTGCTAGTGTGCCAAATGCTGTTTGCCTTGTTGTATGTAGTCATAGAAAACACCTGGGATACAGAATCAGCCCTGGACTTGGATTCTCGTTCCATCATTTATTTGCTGAGTGACCTTGGACAGTTACTTGACCTCATCAGTAGGAAGAGTATCTAAATATCCATTCATTCACTATTTAAACATTTATTAAGTGTTAGCTACATGTAAGTCATTGTGCCATACATTGTGGCTTTCATTCAATCCTCAGTGTGCATTGGAATCACCTGGAAAACTCTTAAAGCTACTAGTTCCTTAAAATAAGATAGCATATAGAATTAGATGATTGTGTAAGGAAATAATTTATCAATGTAAATATATATGAATATATGAAAATATTATTTGACCTAGACTAGTCCTAGACTAATAGGTCTCAATCTTCAGTGTATGAAAGGAATCGTCAGGAGGGCCTGTGAAACCATAGCTTGCTGAGCCCACCTCCAGAATTTCTGATTCAGTGTATTTGGGGTGGTTCTGAGATTTGTATTTCTGAGATTTGTATTTCTAACAGGTTCTCAGGTGACACGTACATTGTTGATCCAGGATCACACTTTGAGAACCCCTGACCTGGACTATAAACTCCTGAGGACAAGAACAATCTGCTCATTTACTAAATAAAGCATGCTCATGACCAATTCAGCTTCCAGCACAGACTACAAGTGTAATTTTTCAATGTATGAACCACTCTGTGCCTCAGAATAACTAATATTTACCGTCAACAATATGAGAGAAGAATTTTTGTGCACTACTGCGTTCCCAGAACCAAGAACATGGCTTGGCACACAGCAGTGCTCAAGGACAATTATTAAATGAATAAATATGATTGAAAGGGTTAAATGAGGTCATGTATATTTTAAAAAATTGTACAAATATTAGCTACAATTAGTGTTACTCTTTAGAGGTAATAATTACTCTAGAAACTGTAGCTCTTCCATATGCTGGGGGCATTCTGAGAGCAGAGACCATCTCCCTTTCACATAGCTCTGCATCTAAACCAAGGAGCTGAATAAAAGTGGGTAACTTTCACTGGTGCTCACTATGGTGCCAGGCAATCTACGGGACTATAAGAAGGGCACACGCTCTTAGAAGGGCATTTAATGTCCTCTCCACTTTACCGATGAAAGAAACTGAGGCGGGGATTAAGTTGCCCAAGATAGCGAATTGCAGAGCCAGAACTCGAACACGTTAAGTCCAGCAAAGGTCATGGGCGAGAACAACATGGAACGCGGAAATCAATGGGGTCAAAGGTCAGCAGGAAGTGGCTACGGGACTCTAGGTCAGAGATCACTAACATGTCATAGGCGATTGAGGGTTGTTACTGAAGATAGTTTGACCTAGTCTTCCCAATCGCGTCTCAGCTGGTGAGACCATAAAGCGACCGGGACATCTGGGTGGATTAAATA